ATGACTTGCAAGTGAATTGGATTTGAGTGAAGGAGGGCTGTGCAAAGTCATCAGCCTCATTTTCTCCTCTGGATCCATCTGGGTCCAATGCTCAGATACAGATCAGGACAACTGGAGATGGCCCAGGATTCAGTGGGAGACCTTGGCCTTTTTAAGGTTAGGTCTTTCCAAGTTCACACACTGATTGAGACAATGACCATTCAGTGATTAGAGCTGTTTAAGAAGTGAGCCCAGGGGAACAGGTAGGTGGCACAGTGGATAGATCACCGGCCCTGGATTCTGGAGGAACCGAGTTCAAATCCTACAGCTGTGTGACCCTGGGCAAGTCATTTAACCCCATTGCCCTGCCAAAAAAAAAAAAAAAAAATGAGCCAAGGGATGGCCCCTTTAATCCAAAAAAAGGGACAAAAGAGCAAACCAAAAAACTGGGAGGGGAAGACCCTCAGGGTTTCTGGCCAAAAGAGAAATGAATAGATTTATAGAATGATACATACAGATACTGATATATACAGGCACGCGCGCGCGCGTGTGTGTGTGTGTATTTTGTGTGTGTATTTTTGTCTAAAGGTAACCACTGCGGGGGGGGGGGGAAGAAATTTACATGGTAACTTTACTATATATTTAAAATAGCAAGTGGTAAATAATAGATTTGCAGTTTCACGTGCAATCATCTTTTTATTTTACCAAGTTATAGAAATGCTTGTTTCATTCCAAAAATTAAAAATAAAATATTTTTAAAAACCCAAGAAGTCAATTAAATGTTTGAGGAGGGATAGGGTAAAAAGGGAGGAAGAGGAGAGAAATATGATGACAAAAAACAGGAGGAAGGGAAATGCATAACTAGTAATTATAACATTGAATGTGAATGGGACAAACTCACTCAAAACGGAAATGTAGCAAAATGGATTAAAAACCAGTTTCCCAAAATATGTTGTTTACAAGAAACACGTTTAAAAATGAGAGATGCACATAAAGTAAAAATAAAGGGCTGGAGTACAATTTATTATGCTTCAGTTGATACAAAAAAAAACAAGGGCAGCTGTCATGATCTCAGACAAAGTTAAAGTTAAAAGAGATTTAATTAAAAGATAAACAGGAAAATTATATTATGATCAAAGTTAGGTAATGAACATAGATTAACATAGAATAATAGATAACGAAATAATAGCAAGACTAAATCTATATGCAACAAATGGTACAGCATCTAAATTTTTAAAGGAAAAGCAAAATTAATTACAGATACAAGAGCAAAACTATAATAGTAAAAGACTTAAATCTTCCCCTCTCAGAACTAGATGAATCTAAAAAAAAAAATAGGAAAGAAGTCAAGGAGATTAATAGATTCTTAGTTAAGGCAGATATGACAAATATCTGGGGGAAAAAACTGAATGGGAATAGAAAGGAATACACCATTTTTTTTCCAGTGGTCCATGGTACTTTTAGAGAAACTGACCAAATACCAGGGCACAAAAACTTTATAACAAAATGCAGAAAAGCAGAAATATTAAATGCAACCTTTTCAGAACATGATGCAATAAAAATTATATTCAAAAGGGACCATGGAAACATTGATTTACAATTGATTGGAGACTAAGTAATCTCATCTTAAAGAAATGAGTGTGTTAAAGAACAAGTCATAGAAACAATAAATAATTTCACTGAAGAGGATAATAATAATGAAACAATATATCAAAACCTATGGGATGCAGCAAAAGCAGTAATCAAAGGAAAATTTATCTCTCTAAATGCTTACATCAATAAAATATATAACAATTGGGTTTACAATTAAAAAAATAGAAAAAGAACAAATTAAAAATCCCCAATTAAACAGCAAATTGGAAATCCTAAAAATTAAAGGTAAAATGAATAAAACTGAATACAAGAAAACCATTGAATTAATAAATAAAACTAGAAGTTGGTTTTATAAAAACAAAACAGATAAACAATTAGTTAATGAGATTTTTAAAAGAGAAAACCAAGTCCTAATATCAAAAATGAAAAGGGTGAATGAATATATCACTAATGAAGATGAAATCAAAGAAATTATAAGGAGTTATTTTGCCCAATTATATGCCAATAAATTTAACAATTTAAGTGAAATTGAAGAATATTAACAAAAAATATGAACTGCCTAACCTAGCAGAAGAAATAGAATAACTAGACAAACCTATTACAGAAAAAGAAAATGAACAGGCCATAAATGATCTTCCTAAGGAAAAAAAAAAAAAAAAAGGCAGCAGAACCACACAGACTTACAAGTGAATTCTACCAAACATTTAAAGATCAACTAATTCCAATATTAAATCATTTGGAATATTAGGCAAAGATGGAGTCCTACCAAACTCTTTTTATGAAATATAGTACTGATACCAGGAAGAGCAAAAACTGACAAAAGAAAATTGTTGGCCAATTTCATATGAGTATGAATATGACAATATGGATGTAGAAAGTCGAAATAAAATACTAGCCAGAAGACTATAACAATATATCACAAAAATCATACACATGATGATTTATACCAGGAGTTCAAGGATGGTTTAACATAAGGAAAACTATTAACATAAATGATTATATCAATTACAAAAGTAACAAAAATCATATGATTATGTCATCAACAGATTAAGAAAAAGCTTCTGATAAAATACAACACTCATTCCTATTAAAAAACACTTCAAAGTACAGGTATAAAGGTATTTTTCCTCAAAATGATAAGCATCCACCTAAAACCATCAGTAAGCAATATTCATAATAGGGATAAGCTAGAAGCCTTCCCAGTAAGATCAGGAGTGAAACAAGGATGCCCATTTATCACCAGTTTTATTCAATACTGTATTAGAAATGCTAGCAATACCATTAAAGGAAGAAAAGAAAATAGAAGGAATCAGACTGGGCACGTCTTTGCAGACAATGTGATGATCTACTTGGAAAATACCAAAAATGCAACTAAAAGGTTGTGGAAACAATAATTATAGCTAAGTAGCAGGATATATAATAAACTCACATAAAATCATCAGTATTTCTATACATCACCAAAATCCTGCAGTAAGAGATACCCCATTTAAAATAACTGTGGACAATATAAAATACTTTAGAGTATACCTACCAAAACAAACCCAGGAACTACATGAACATAATTATATAACATTTTAAATATAAACAAAGTCAAACTGAAATAACTGGAGAAATATTAATCGTTCATGGGTAGGCAGAGCCAATATAATAAAAATGACAATTCTACCTAAACTAATCTACTTATTCAATGCCATTCCCATTAAATTACCAAAAAATTATTTTACCGAGCAAGAAAAAATAATAACAAAATTCATTTGGAAGAAAAGATCAAGAATATCAAAGGATTAATGAAAAAATACATAAAGAAAAGAGGTTTGGCAGTACCAGATCTTAAACTATAATAAGGCAGTAATTTTATCAAAGCTAGAAAGGTGGATCAGTGGAACAGAGCAGACATACAACACACAGTAATAAATGATTATCATAACCATGTATTTAACAAATGTAAAGATTCAAGCATTGGAGATGAGAATATGCTATTTGGCAAAAATTGTTGGGAAAATCAGAAAGCATATGGCAGATGCCATTTACCATGATAAAGTCAAAATGGCTACATGACCTCAATATAAAGGTAGATATCATAAGAAAACTAGAAGAATATGGAACACATTATCTATCAAACTTAAAGAAAGAACAATTTATAAAACAAGAGATAGCAAGCATTATGAGATGTAAAATGGATAATTTTTATTACATTAAATTTAAAAGGTTTTGTACAAATAAAACCAATGTAGCTAAGATTAGAAGGAAAGCAGAAAATTGGGGAAAATTTTTATATATAGTTTCTCAGATAAAGGTCTCACATCTCAAACATATAGAGACCTTTGTCAAATTTCTAAGAATATGAGTTATTCCTTAATTAAAAAATGGTCCAAGCATATGAACAGGCAGCTTTTCAATGAAGAAATCAAAACTATACATAGCTCTAAATCACTGATTAGAGAAATGCAAATTAAAACAATTTTGAGATATCTAATAGCTATCAAATTGGCTAAAATGATAGAAGGGGTAAGTGAGAAATGTTGGAGGAGATGTAGAAAAATTGGAACATTAATCCACTGTTGGCAGAACTGTGAATCATCCAACCATTTTAGAGAAAAATCTGGAATTATGCCAAGAGTTACAAAACTGTTCGTGCCCTTTGACTCCACAATACCACTATTAGGTCTGTTTCCCAAGGTGACCAGGAAAAAAGGAAAAGAACTTATTTATGTTCTAAAATATTTATAGCAACTCTCTTTGTGGTGGCAAAGAACTGGAAATGAGGGGATGCCCATCAAGTGAGGGATGGCTAAACAAATTGTGGTATATGATTGTGATGGAACACTAGTGTGTTTTAAGAAATGATGGGCTGTTTAATTTTAGAAAAACATGGAAAGACCTGCATGAAATAATGAAAAGTGAAGTGAGCAGAACCAAGAGAATGTTGTCTACAGCAAGAACAATATTGTTCAGAGAATAACTGAACAATAAGTTATTCTGAGTACTATGAATACTCAAGTCAACTACAAAGGACCTATGAAGGAAGATGCTATCCACCTCCAGAGAAAAAACTGACAAACAGAAGTATACATAATATGGCTTTACATATATTTCTAAATCCCAAATGGTGGCCATCTTTAGTGCGGAGTTGGGAGGGAGAGGGAAGGAGATAGTTCACAACTTAAAATGTAACAAAAGAAATAAATTTAATTTAAAGAAATTAAGGTATCACCAAAATCTGTCAGCTTTTTAATTAAGCGTTTTTTCATCTAATATTTTCATTTAATATTATCTCATCCAAATTGAAATACTTAAGAATCAGTGTTTGAGAATTTCAATAAGAAAGGTATAGCACAGATTTTTTCATTCAGAATGTCAACACTTTTAAATGTTTCAACAACTAGAAATTATAAAATCTCATCACAATTTTAACGTGAAAATTTTACCTGGATCATTATGCGAATGAGGCACAACAAATACTTGAAGAGGCTCACTGTCCCATTCATTATTTTCATATGTAATGTCAAATCCTTGCTTCCAAACTCCTCCATCTGGATTGTCAAATGGAAGAAGGCTATAAACATTCAACATCTAAAAATTAAAAAAAAACAAACCTCAATGTGAATTTCACCTAGTGTAAAAACATTATTCACCCACTCAATTGTATTCATTGATATTCAAGAATATTACTATCTAATTTTATAAGAAAAATACAAAAAAGCAAAATATTCTAAAAGATAACGAGCATTATTTAATTCTTGCATATGATTTTATGCCATCACTAACATTCTAGTTTTTTTCCTCACTGCAATCCAAGATTCTTGAAGGCTAGGCCAATGTGTCCCAACAAAGTGGACACCCTTGCAAAGGACGATAGATATCTATTGTCCAAGAACCAGCCTTAGTTTGGGAAGGCTTATTACCAGAAGTTTGGCCAAAAAGTGATAAACATTCCCAGGGTACATCATTCACGAAACAAACTACTGACAGATACTTTGAGGAAGTAAATCAACTTATCCTTATGCAGCTAAATACTGTCATAACTATTTTGAAAGAAGTTACCTACATACATTAAAACTCCCTATTTTTAAGTTTCTCTTTTAAAGACAGACAAACAAAACACTGAAAGAAACATGCTGAATTTATTATACACTTAAAAGGAAAAGCAAGCTGCACATAATATAGATTTGTGGTTTCACATACAACTTTTTTTTTTCCTATTCTATTTTTAAGGAGGCATTAATTTTATGTGATGTTTATTAAGCACAGAATAAAAGTTTTCATCTTGATTATGAGATCAAATATTTAGAGAAGGGTGAGCCCAACCTCCTATTCACAAGAAGACTGAGGCCCAGAGGTTAAAGGGTTACACAGTAAGTGATGGAATCTTTCTTATTAAAACTCACTGTAAACTAACAGCAAGCTAGATAAAAAATCAAATAGGTCTGATTTAATATGATTGTGAGAGTTTTTGCATATTATAATTTCTTTCAAATTCACCATCTTCATGGAAGAGGCCCTGTGCAAAGCACAAAGAAGTGTTCCTATTGTCAGATCATATGGTACTAATTTCTACCCATGAATATTACAAAACCGCTTCCATCATACTAAGGATTACACATAATATAACAATGCAAGAGACTGATTTAACCATTTATTTAGAGAGAGAGAGGAAGATAAAAATACATTTCTTCAGACTACAACATGAAACTCGATGGGAGGTCCAACAACTTACTGGCCAACACCTCTATCTAATATAGGACCTATGAAAAGATAAATTAGGTGGGCCCAGAACTGAGTAGAAAGAGATGTTTTAGGAAATTTCACAGTGTTTTCAATGATCCTAAACTACTTGCTACCTCAAAAGCCCATGTCTTCACAGCAATATTTTTGAGCAATACTTTAAGACTATGAATAAACACAATAAATCTCATAAGAATTACAACAGGGTCAGCTAGATGGTGCAATGGATAGTGCCAGGCCTGAAGTTGGGAAGATTCATTTTCCTGAGTTCAAATCTGGCCTCAGACACTTACCAGCTGTGTGACCCTGGGCAAATTGCTTAACACTGTTTGCCTCAATTTCCTCATCTGTAAAATGAGCTGGAGAAGAAAATGGCAAACCACTCCAGAATTTTATAAAAGAAATTTTTTAATTAAGAAAAAAAAAGGAATTACAACAAATAACCCAAAAAGCAATGGAAATATATATTGGGCATAAGGAGGCTGCAGCACCTTACTAAAAATGGTTTTCACGTAAGTAGTGGCATGAAAGAGATTAAGAACACGTAAAAGCAGGTAAGGAGGTGGGACAATCATATAGTTAAAATGAAAAAAAAATGGATAGATCAAAAAAGCACAATAGTAACATAGATACTAAAGATTAGAAGTATAAATGAATCACTGGATGATTAGGTATTGAATAGTTGTGATAACTACACATTGGTGGGACTATAATTCAACAAGTGAATTTAGGTTTCAGTGTTGAAATATATTTTAAGCTTCCAATATAATCTGTTTCTTTTTTTTACTGAACCTGTGAAGTCATAGGTTCAATATAATCTACCATATGGAAAAATTCATATGGAAAAATTTTTAAATTGGTTTAAGTATGATTTTACCATATATTCACATTAATTTTTCATCATTCTACTTATATATGAGATCAAAAAAAGAAAATCCTAATCAACATAGTAAAAATATTTTTGTACAATTAAAACCACGTTAAAACAAAAAGTAAAAATCATTAATTAAAATGTAATATATGTGCAGAAAATTCAAAGAATGATGGTTTGTACCAAAATAAATAGCAAATCTTAAATAAAATAATATCTTTAAAAAGAAGGCAAAAACACAAACATCCAGACAATTTGCTGGTGTTATTGTTTTCAAATATTCCAAAATCCTTGAGTAACACTTACATAAAAACGCCTTTACTAAAAAACAAAAGATGTGCAAAAAAATTCAGAAGAATATCATTTTGGGGGTAAAGATGAGAAAAATAGGACTGATGTCAAACAGTAACAGAGCTGAGAAAGTACAGAAAACAACAAGAAGACTTATTTACGCACGTGTATTACCTGTACATCTGAATTCTGATTTCCACTTTCTGAAGCAAATGAACAGTCTTCAGGTTCATTCAGGAAAGGTGTTAGAACAGATGGCATAAGATCAGAGATGGATCCTTGACTGACATTATTATTACTTTGTGGGCTTTTCTGATCATCCTTCACAGATTCACTCAAATTGATGACAGAGTCTCTAATGTTTGAAATTATTTCATTATTTTCTGCCAGCAAACGTTCTAAATGGTCTATTTTTTCTTGCAATATTGAAAGCTGGGCCTGCAATAAAATAAAGAGCACAAAAACTATTACTTTTCTGTTTAGACATTTTTTTCCCTTAAATGTCTGATTAAATTCCACAGCCCTTTAATACCAAGAGGAATTTGGAAAATAGAAACAGCCAGCAGGAGGCAAAAAAAAAAAAAAAAAAAACAATAAGTTTATGCACATCAGTTCACAGTATAAAATAATTACCACAGTTGGAATCACGTTTTATGATAATTATAGCACACAGCAAAAGGCCTCAAGCATTCAAGATTTAATTATTAGGAAATCCCCAAACTGGATGTAACGCATCAAGTATTAACCTAATATTTCATAGTCTGGAGTCCTACGGAAGGCTTTCTTGGAATGAATTACTAAAAACAAACAGAAAAAAAATTAAAAATTCAAACAACTGCTTCTAGTATGTAGTTACAAAGAATACAAAAACTGCCTCTTGACATCCCTGAATAAGATCAACTATCAACCACAAAATTCAGAACAGTATTAACTACCCACATAAATAAAAGCAACAGTGGTACGGATAAACACAAATCATTTGGTCATCCAAACAGTTTATATTTGGCTTTATAATATAATATATTGTTATTAATTAACATTATATTCCAAGGAGAATATGATGAGGAAGCATAAGCCTTGGCATATACAGTATTTAAAAGCAAAGAAAACATTGAAAACTTCCAAGATAGCTCTAAACCCAGAAGTCATTTTAATTTGCTCCTCTTCCCACCCCATATCACTTATATTATTATTAGAATTAATTTTTTTTGAAATAATAATAATTCAATAATCCATTAAAAGACCATTTAGAATACTTGCTAAGGGAAAAAGTGATATTCATCTCAATTATGAGAAAAACAAAGTGAACAAAAGTAAAGGTAGTCATTAAGATTACAAGTTACAGAACAGCAGACACTCCAAAGAAAAAGAAAGCTAGAAACAGGGGCAAAAGATAGAACAGAACTATTGGACAAACAGCAAACTTCATTTGCCTTTAACACAGAAAAAGGCCACATGTAATCTGTGCATCTGTTAGGGGGAGGAGGAGAAATCTGTATCTCAATCTCCTTTAATATGTGTTATGACATCTCTACAACGATGAGCTAAACAAAAATATACAGGGAGCGTAGGAGTTATTCAGGACAAGCAATCTAAGTGTACTTCTACTGACTGAGCTGACACAAAATGTTTCACCTCAACCAGATGAAACTGAATTGAACTGGTTTCAACACTAAGTCAGTTCTCTGTCAGTTGAGTACTGGTCCTTACATTGTCAGACGCCTTCAGAGAGGATGAAAACAGCATCAAGAACAGCTACCACACCTAGAGTAAATTATTTAACTTGAAAAGGTTACAACCTGAGACTGAAGTGGAGGGAGAGTTGGTACAAGATTTTTTTGGTTCACAGATGATTGTGCACTCAATGCAGCGTCTGAGGCAGAGATGCAACAAAGTATGGATTGATTCTCTGCTGCTTGTGCTAATTTTGGCCTAACAATTTACATCAAGAAAACAGGTTCTTCACCAGTAAGCACCACACCATCCATACATGGAACAGCAAATGGGAGAAATATGGAATGCTGTGGATAAGTTCACTTACTTTGGCAGTACACTTTCCAGGAATGTACGCATAGATGATGAGGTTGATACACACTGCCAGGGCTAGCCCAGTGTTTGAGAGGCTCCGAAACAAAGTGTGGAAGAGAAGAGGTTTAGACTGCCTACCAACTGAAGATCTACAGAGCCATTGTGCTGACCTCATTGCTAGATGCCTATGAAAACTGGACAGGATACCAGTAACATGCCAGGAAACTGAATTACTTCCATTTAAATTGTCTTATGAAGATTCTGAAGATCACCTGGCAAGATAAGGTACCAGACATTCAGGCACTTTCTTGAGCTACACTGCCAAGCATTTGAACTCTACTGCAGAGAGCGCAACGCCTATGGGCTGGCCATACTGCTCAAATGCCAAATGTTGGTTTGCCTGAAAGACTATTTTACAGAAAACTCACACAAGACAAGTACTCATGTGGAGGTCAAAAGAAGTGATAGAAGACACTCTCCAGGTCTCTCTGCAGAACTTTGGAAATGATTGTGTGACATGGGAGACACTGGCAAAGGACCATGCAGTGTGGTGTGCCTGCATCTAAGAAGACACTGTGCTTTATCAGCAACACACAACTGCAGTAGCACAAAAGAAACATGAGATGCATGAATTTAGTGATATTTCTGCTCCAAATGTTCACATGGACTATTTGTACCCAACCTGTGGTAGAGCAACTGAAAGAGAACTGACTTAATGTTGAAACCAGTTCAATTCATTTCCATCTGGTCGAGGTGAAACATTTTGTGTCAGCTCAGTGGCAGTAGAAGTACACTTAGATTGCTTTTCCCAAATAACTCCTACATTCCCTGTCTAATTAGCCACAGTGAGACACACTGTACCTTGACTCCAACATAGTGGTATCATTTTGGTCCTCTTTGAGACTCAAGGAAAACAATCAACCAACCAACCAGACTTTATGCCACACATTTGTTTCACTACTCTTTGAATGTTTTCAATTCCATGATTTTAAAAAATGGCTACCATGCCAATCAAACATGCAAAAGTTGTAGTTCTTAAAGAGCACACTTCAATGACTGTTACAGGTTTTTCAGTGGATGTTAGTAAGTTGAAGCTAAGAGTTTCAAAGGTCCTTTCAGCCCACAACAAAACAAGATAATTAGCACTCTAGAATAAATATGGGGGGTGGGGGGGAGTCAAGAATTTATCAACTCATGCTACAAAACAATTAATCCTAAGAAGACAATCAATGACTTTCTGAGGGACCTCATAACTATAGAGACTGTTACAGATTCCTCTAAAATCTGATTTAGGCTTCTTGAGGTTAGAAGAACAGGGGGAAGAACTTTTTTTTAAGCTTTGGGGAAAAACACCAGTCTTGGGCAAGAGACCAGAAAGACTGAAATACTAAAGATTGGGAAAAGGTAATTATTAATGACACTCACTTTTTCATTTGGGCCTATATTAAAATCATTGTTAGAAAAAATCCAAGTGAACCGGTAAGACCTAGGCATCTTCATCAGATTATAAGATTGCACTCTACCCTCAAAAAAAAATGTTTTAGATGATTTCCCATATCCAGTAGACCTGAGAGTGTTGTCTCAACTGAAGGAATGATGTACTCCGATAAAATATTCCAATATACTGAGCAGAACTATTCCGGAAGAAATTCCAAGATGGAATACTTGCAACACAACCTTCCATAGTACCAAATGTCACAAAAGATTCTGAACTTTACCCAAAATATAGAGATTAATATACATTGCAATGTGGAAACTCACCTGATATAATCTCCACTGAAAACCTATGGGAAATAAACATGGCAAGATTTGGAAAATACGTACTATTCAAACACATACTAAACATGCAACATGATAAAATGTGGCTTCATAAACAAAAAAAAGAAATATGTACAAAGCTTATAAATGCAATGCTAAATAGTATAAAATCAGTGACTGCAGCAAAAGATAATGCATATCAAAAGTTCTCTAAAGATGTGAGAACTTTTAAGGTTTGTTGCATAGGTCAATAAATTTAGTTATTTTATTTTGTTCCAGTTAAGCTGCACATCACTATAACAGTAAACTGATGCCATAAAAGAGCTCAGTGTATATACTAGCCTAAAATATGTATTCCAGTCTTCTACTGGTGAAAAGGGAAGGGCAGAAACATTAAAAATTGTAGCATAAAAAGGTCTACTGTGACCTACTGCTTCCAAAAGTCTGCCCATTCTCTAACTTCATCAAAGATGCTCGTAATAACTTTGAGAAAATGGATATCTATATAGAACTATACCATAATATACATGAATATGTTACATACAATGATGAATCAGTACAATATTGGTTCAACCAAATCTAACCAAGCTGTACAAATTCTTTCATTCAGAGCTATAGAATGGCTATAAAGTACACTCGCTTACAAACTTTTAATAGACTCTACCATCCCTTCAATTACTGCCATATTTCTTTTTTTTTTTCCCCTCCCTTTCTTAACTAGCTGTTTACACTCACTGCCTCATTTTTCAGTACTTTGCAATGTGGCTTCTGTCCTCATTACTTGACTGACACTGCTCCTTCCAAAGTTATCAATGATGTCTTACTTGCCAAATATCAATTTCTTCATTTTTATACTGTATCCATTTTATATATACTTTCTGTCTCCTCCATTAGAATGTAAGTTCTAAATTTGTCCTTATTATATGCCAACAAAACTAATAATTTACATTAATAATGACAAAAATATAAAATACCCAGAACTAACCGAAGAAATAAATTGAACAACCCAATATCAGGAAAAAAACAAATAAGCCATAAATGAACTCACAAAGGAAAAAACTCCAAGACCAGATAAATTTGCAAGTGAAATTCTATCAAATATTCAAAGAAAAATTAATTCCAATTTTAACTAAACTGTTTGCAAAAATGAATAAATACATAAAGAAAGGAGCCTTCCCTGAGTTCAAATCAGGCCTCAGACACATGACACTTACTAGCTGTGTGACCCTGGGCAAGTCACTTAACCTCTGTTGCCTCAACAAAAAAAAAAAAGCACATCCTTCTAAAAACTCCCCAGCAATACTAGTGCTATACTCCAAGGAGATCAAAGAAAGAGGAAAAGGACTCATATTTTTAAATTATTTATAGCAGCTCTATTGTAGTAGCAAAGAAGGGGAATCTAAGGGGCTGGTGGGTACCAATCTACAGGGGGAATGGCTAGAAAAATTATGACATGCGAATGTAATGACACTTCAGGAACCCTTTTCCCATTCCCCCTAATTCTACTGTTGATTATTTCCAATTTATTTTACACACACCTTATTTGTACAGTATTAGAATATTTGTCTTCCCCATTAAACTAAGCTCCTTGAGGGCGGGGAATATTTTTTACCTTTCTTTGTATCCCTAGCACTTAGCACCGTACCTGCCAC